GACAATATACACCATCCTCGTGGTACCTGGTAGAATGAAGAGTCTTAATGCTTAAAGATTATCCAATGGATTTATATATTTAGAAATGCCCAATTAACAAGATGCTCACACAATTAGAATTGTTACCCAATATCTAACCTTTAAATATAGCTTGTTACCCAGGACTGCTTTCGACCATTGGAGAGAACTAATTTTCCCTTTGCAAACAGATGTAAATTGAATATAGTTTCTTGGTTAGTGATGATAACTTGTGTTGCTTTCTCCACTCAGCACTGGCACCCTGTGCTGGACTTGAACTTGTGCAGGCTCTGTGCATGCTTCCACAGTCTTTGTGGGTTCATATGTGCATCAGTCCTGTGGTTTCTGGAGGACACAGTTTTTTTGGAGTCATCCATCCCCTCTGGCTCTTAATCTTACTACCCCTCCTCTTCAGCATAGATCCCAGAGTCATGAGAGAAAGGATTTTATGACAACATACCACTGAAGACTGAGTGTTCCAAAATTTCTCACTCTCTGAACATTGTCTAGTTGTGTGTTATACTAAATTAAAAAAATGAACAATAAATTTGCTATTTTTCCTGTATATATTTTATTTTTTCATTTCTTTATTTTTTATTTATGTTTACCTCTTATTGAAGATTGATTTTTTTCTCACATACTATATCCTGATTATAGTTTCCCTTCGCTACCCCCTCCCAGCTTTTCTCTACTGTCCAGTCGAGCCGGATCCACCCTCTTTCTGTCCCTCATTAGAAAACAAACAGGGTTCTATGGGATAATAATAAAGTATGATATAAGAAGATAAAACAAAACCAAATACATTGAAATTATATAGAACAAATAAGCAGAAAGAAAAGAGCCCAAGAGAAGGAACAAGAAACAGAGACCCATTCATTCACACACTCAGTGATCTCATACAAATACTAAACTGGAAGCCATAATATATATGCAGGGGACTTATAGGATAAAAAGAGAAAAGAATGATACAAAAAATATATAAAAATAAGATAAATTTATACAGGAAGAGCCCTGACACAACATTCTGAGACAAGGAACCTCCAAAGATGCCACTGAGTTCATTTCCTGTTGGTCATCTCCTGCTAAGCATGTACCCAACCCTTAAGTAGTTTGTTACCGAAGGGAGACTCTTTTCTAATGTTTCTCTTATTTATTTCCTTAGTCAAGACCATGAGGCATTTTAAATAGATGACAGTAGACCCTCAGAGATCATGCTATCCTCTTTAAAAGTTTATTTATATAATTATAGCCTTTGATTTTTCTGATAGATTTAGAAAAGTATCTAGATGAACAGTAAAACAGTTTGAACAAAGACATCATTGAGGGCAGAAAATACTCTCAAGAACCAGAGGATGAATGAAAATCCCAATGACAGAGACAACTTACTACTCTATTAATTATTGGCAAGAGAGGCCCCTAAGGCTCAACAAATGACAAAGGTTATTACTACCACTATTGGTTACATGCTAAAACCAAGTGGTAAGTCCATGTTGTTAATAATACTAAAGGTTTTTGCTTCAGGACATGGAAAGATCAGGTTGAAACAAAGCTGGAATATTTCTCCTGCTTTCTGGCTTTCTTTATTACCAGGAAGCACTATATACGATGCTAAGGGAGAACTGTTATCAGTAATCCTGTTCAGCTATAGATCCTGTTTAGGACCATCATGATGTACCTACTTCTGCAATAATGACCAGACTATTTTGACCTAATATGTTGCTTTCTGATTGGAAGGAAAAGCCAAAAGCCAGTGTTTGGAAAGGTCACTGCTATTATTTAATAAAAAAGGTGTGGTATATCTGTCAAATAGGCACCCCCCAACATTTATACTTAGGTTCATAGACTACTATAACTAGCAATAGTCCTGTATTTAGTCAGACAGCTATATTATTCCCTTCCAGACTCATGGATAATTGTAGAAGACAGAGCAGAAAGAATCCAAGAGCTAGAGGAAGGGATAGAATTTTAAGTTGCAGTTTCCTTCATATTGAAACATTACCTCCTGGAGGGAGGAGGGAAGCTTTTAAGACTCAGAAATTGAACAAATAGTACAAGGCACAGAAAGTGACTAAAGCTACAAGACTCAAGAAACTAATGAAAAATATAAGATTTATAGGCCTTTCCTTCATGCCATATCAATGGTAGCCATTGCTGAGGTTAAGAGACTCTAACCAAATAAGCTGCCTGCATATCATCTAAGGAGTCCTGAAAACATAGCCCTCATATGTTGTTAGCTTCTTTTAGGGCAGGCTTTTCAGCAATGCAAAGGCTATTGAGTCATCCAAGGTCTTACAGTAACTCTTTATCTATACACTTCTATGAGTAACTCCAGTGAGGCTACTAGTTCATAAACTAGACTTCTGTGGACTCATTTCTTTGATGTGTTGTGGGTGACTTATCCAAGGTGAATAGGCCCTTAAATCATTGTTTTTCTATGTTTCATGTAGTGCTGGCTTTTGCAGCTACAAATCTAAGATTCTCTGCAAAATATACCTACTAGATAATAATGGCAAGATAGTTGATGGGATAACCAGCCACGATGATGGTTGGATTTGAAGCCTGCTTTATAGGAGGGGACTTATTCCTGGTACTATAAACATGGATAAAACTAGTTAATAAGGAAGTTGTAGATGCACAGGAGAAATATTTTGATTTGTTTTGGTGAGTGGTCAAGTTGACAAACCACCACCTTCTAGATATTTATGTTTATAGCCATAGGTCAGCACCTGCTTTCAGTCTTGGACAGAGAAGCTCTTGATTACATTGGGTAGTAATTAATGCAGAGACCCCGTCTTTTGAAAGTGCTGAGAGGGATTGTAGATGCTTAATCAAAGATGAGGCATCTATAGTACTCCTCCCACAAAGCTTAGGGAACAGTATAGAAGAGGGAGATAAAAGAATATAAGTGCCAGAGGATGGGGAAGAGTGCTGGAAAAAGCTGTCTTCTGGATGTGCCATGGCTCTCAGACTCATGAACTTAGCCACAACAGCTGTGCCTGAGTTTGGTTAAGACCTGCACAAAATCAAGCAAGCTAATTCTGGCATAGGGAAGAGGCTCTCTAGGCCCCATCCCTAGCTGAGGAGTTACTGTTAGTTTGTAGCCACTGGGGAGCAGAGGATTACTTTTCTTTGAAGTGTAGCCACTGGAAGGGTGGTTGTCCATTCCTCTGTGGGTGATCCCACACCTGGAGGTATAATAGTCACACTAATTGGACTCAGTGAGTTATAAGAAAAATAGTTTGGAAATAGACAGCAGACTGGGGTGAAGGGGAAATAGACAGCAGACTG